TCATACTTGCTAGGATAACTTATTAATTAATTTTAATTGGCATAAAATTGGATTAGATTAGCATAAGACCCTAATCAACCCCCTCTAGGGTCTAACACTTAGATTCTATCCCTGAAATTGACACATCGAGCCATTCCAATGTTGTGTGCACAAGAGCTATAAACTTCAATTACTTGAACAATCAAATCTATAAAGTTGGTATGGTTTGATTTATTTCTAATTAAAGCTCTTTATTTGATTGTTTTAATATGTTTCCTTGAACATGAGTGATAGCATTTGCTTTTAAGGTGAGATTGGCATTATTGTTGCTGAAGAGTAGCTTTTAGCTATGGTTGGTCGATATTATTGTTGATAGAGATTGTAATTTCTATGTATTTCACTCTGGGGGATCTCGTGTTGAGTTAAACTAGAAGAAATTTTGTGTTGGGATATAGCTGGTTATCTCTTTTTGTGATAGTTATTGTCTCCTTCACTCTGAGAATGAATTTTTTGACTCATAGGTTAGTTAAATTTTTTTGTAAACTATAATTACATTTTAATCTTATTTTCATAGCCCTTGCAACGAGTATATTTCTTTTCAAAAAGATGATGCTTGATGGGTTTTCTCTACGAAATTATGAGATTAATTTTAGCAAAATAGTGGTGGATAGTAGGAAAGAGTTGATGGACTATGATAATTGCAATCAAGTTCCTAACTATTTTTTTTGTAAACTTGTGTATATTCTCTTTATTTACTTGTGTTAAATTCTTTGTTACTAGTTCTTAGTTTAGATTATTCATGTGCTTAAAGAGCTTCATCGATGTATTTTGTTTGTCGATATATGCATTTCGTTGAAGTACATTTAAATACAGAATATGTCTTTGAAATAACTGTAAAACCCCGATAATTTTTGAATGATATATTAATTTGAGATTAATTATGATATACTCATATTTAGTATGATAAATGTCATTTAATGTAATATGAGTATAATACCATGTGTTTTGAGTATGAACGAGTTCATACATTAGAGAGAAAAGAGTCGAAACATACAAAATGGACAAATTCATGAAAAACTAGAAATACCCAGTCCGGTCGACCGACGGTCGACCGTCACGGTCGACCGTAGCCGATATAATACCATGTGTTTTGAGTATGAACGAGTTCATACATTAGAGAGAAAAGAGTCGAAACATACAAAATGGACAAATTCATGAAAAACTAGAAATACCCAGTCCGGTCGACCGACGGTCGACCGTCACGGTCGACCGTAGCCGTAATATGAGTATAATACCATGTGTTTTGAGTATGAACGAGTTCATACATTAGAGAGAAAAGAGTCGAAACATACAAAATGGACAAATTCATGAAAAACTAGAAATACCCAGTCCGGTCGACCGACGGTCGACCGTCACGGTCGACCGTAGCCG